GCGACAGATACCCGCTGGCTGTCCGGGGCTGTTTATTACAGAGGTTTCGGTCTGACGGAATCCGTTTGACCTAGCCTACTGCTATTCGCAGCTGGCCTTATAGGCCGTTCGCTATCCGCAACCTGCGACCAGCGAGCAAGAAGGCTAAAGTAACCAACCGCGGCCCATGGTCGAGATCCTTTGCGGAAGTGGTAAAGGATCGGAAGATCATTGGTGTCGTCGACCAGAGCAATGAAGGCGGTAGGATCCCAAGAAACCAATGGGGTCTAGTTAGACGGGCCCTTGCGTCAGTGGCCTTGAAAGTGCTGGACGAAAACCCAGGCCCGCCACCCGATTGCACAGATGCAGGGTGGTACCAGGGCAATGTTAAGTTGATCGCCTGCGAAGACGAGAGATCGGCAGCACTCTACAAGACTGCAATTAACAAGGTCGGCGAGGTCTACTCCGGGGCCAAGTTGGCAGTTTGCGGGGCTGCAGACATCCCGTCTTGACCATGAGCGAGGGTGTGGCTGCCGTCGGAACCATCGGAACCAGAGGCTATACTCAGCCTGCTGACCAGGCTCAACCCGAAACTTCCAACAGACAGTGTAAAGGTGGTCAAGGTGGAGAAAACCGAGCGCGTCACCATGAACGTGGCTATCCTCCTGAACCAGGCCTGCTTGGAACCCCTCGCAGCCCAACAATACCGGGTGAACTACGGGTTCGATAAGGTGCAGCTACGAATCTACGACACGGATAAGTTAGCGGCAGACAACCTGGCTGCCTGTGCGTCCTACGAACCCCCGAGCGACGACGAATTAGAACATGAAGAGGCCACCGTCGCCGACTACGTGTCAACCGACTCGGAGCTGAGAGAGAGCCTGAAGCAGCTGTGCACCCAGGGCACAACCCAACCAGGGCGCTCTGTTCTCCAGGACATAGCGGAGGAAGCGGAGGGTACCCAGCCCGACCTCAGTCCCAAAGATGGTGCAGTTTCTGCAAATTAACCTGCACCACAGCAAGGCAGCATCCGCTGCCCTCCTCACCCGCCTGGCAACAGGCAACATAGACGTAGTCCTCATTCAAGAGCCATGGATTGTTGGTAATAATATCTGTGGCGTATCAACCCCCCTATACAAGCTTTTTTACACCAAGGACAAGGTTAAAACCAGAACCTGCATTCTTACAAAGACACACTTTAACACACATTCCACAGTTTAGCGAAGGCAACCTCACCACGGTCAGACTGAAGCTAAACGAAAACACTCATCACACCATTGCATTTTTCTATCTGGCTCACGACCACGAAGGGCCTCTACCAAACACCACTACACAACAACTCATACATACACACTCATCTAAGAAACTCATCCTGGGTGGGGACGCTAACTCACACCACACACAATGGGGAAGTACAAATACAAACGAAAGGGGTGAGTTACTCTACGACTATCTCCTTCAATCAAATCTATTCATCTGCAACAAGGGTAATGACCCAACTTTCATCACTAGAAATAGGAGGGAAGTACTAGACATTACACTAATATCTGATCCCCTACTTAACCAGCTAGAAGCGTTTAAGGTGGGGATCGAACACTCATTCTCAGACCACCGATACATAGAATTTACAATAAGTCTTGACTGTCCTCCCGAGAACATCACCAATCTAAGATTAACCAACTGGGGATATTACAAAAATCTCCTCAACAGGAACCTACACGCTCCACCGACACACATACGCAACCGTCAAGAATTAGATAATCTAGTTAACACTTTTACTGATATCTGCGGTGAGGCCTTAAAAAGGGCTTGTCCAAGCAGAACAGTCAAAACAAAGCACAATCCCCCTTGGTGGAACGCAACCCTGGCGAAAGAGAGTGTAGAACTTACTTCAATAGAGCTAAATACAACAATAGCGAATCCTCCTGGAATTTATACCATTCAAATCTAAGCCTATACAAAACGGAAATTAGAATATCAAAACGAAAAGCTTGGGCTAACTTCTGCAGTAGCATAGAATCTACTGCGGAGGCATCCAGACTCAGAAAAATTCTAGCCAAAGGTCCAGCAACCATTGGCTACCAATGCTGACAGCTGGACGGAAAAAAGTCAGGAAACACTTGAACTACTGTTAGACACCCACTTCCCTAAGAACACCCATGTAGTGGAGGACCTCCACATAGAGGAGAACAGACGACCAGAGTATTGACAACATTTCAAACCCTGGCCACATTCAGTGGGCTGTCAACTCTTTTAAGCCCTTCAAATCACCCGGCCCAGATGGGTTCTTCCCGGCCCAGCTACAACGGACACTAGATATGTCCCTACCCTGGCTGACAGCCATCTTCCGCGGCTGCCTTGCTCTAAACCATATTCCAACAAGGTGGCTGGACGTTAAGGTAATTTTTATACCGAAAGCCGGCAAGCCCTCCCACACCAACCCAAAGGACTTCCGCCCGATTAGTCTCTCTTCCTTCTTGTTGAAGACCCTGGAAAGGCTAATTGACACCCATATCAGACTAACCATCGACCCAAGCCTACTCTCTGACGCACAGCACGCGTACCGTAAGGGTAGATCAACAGATACCGCCCTCCACTCTCTAGTGTACAGTATAGAGAGAGGTTTCCGCAATAAGGATTACTCTTTTGCAGCGTTTCTAGACATAGAAGGCGCCTTCAACAAAGTCACCCCAACGGCGATTACTGTTGCTCTGACTGAACTGGGCATTGAGCGGCCCATAGTGGGACTCATACACACCATGCTAACCAGCAGAGTAGTGTACTCCACTATGGGATTGGCCCACACGACCAGGAATGTCAGCAGAGGAACCCCACAAGGGGGCGTACTCTCACCTCTTCTATGGGTTTTAATGGTCAACAAACTGCTATCACTTCTAGAAGAGGCGGGCACAAAAGTAGTAGCCTACGCGGACGACGTGATCAACCTACTACAGGGCAAATTCCCGCAAACCCTTTGCATTCTAATGGAGACTGCCTTATCCACCCTCTTCCGGTGGACGGCTGGCTGTGGACTGGGAGTTAACCCAGAAAAGACCGAACTAGTTCTCTTTACAAGGAAGTATTAGGTACCAATTCTAGTTCCCCCAAAACTACACCAAACGCGCCTAACCTTTAGCAACCAAGAAAAGTACCTGGGTGTCATACTTGAACTAAAAGCTCCTCTGGACAGATAACATCCTAGATCGCACACGCAAAGCGGCCATAGCCCTCTTCGCTTGTAAAAAAGCCATAGGGAGGAAGTGGGGTTTCTCCCCCATGATAGTTTACTGGCTATACACTGCAATAGTCAGGCCCATTCTCCTCTACGGAAACATCGTTTGGTGGCCTTCTCTAGATAAGAACTGTAACCTCCGGATCCTTCACATGATCCAAAGAAGCGCAGAGCTCTGCATCAGTGGGGCGCTTCGCACTACCGCCACTGAGGCACTAAACACAATTCTCGATCTCCAACCCCTGGACCTACTTACCAAAAGCTGGGCATCTGCAACAGCGCTGAGGCTCCGCCAAGCAGCGGCATGGACAACAGGCTCCACGGGTCACTCCAATATCCTATCAAAACATTCACCCCTACCACGTAATACAGACTACGTCCCACCCATAGTCAACTTCGAAAGAAGATACAAGATCTATATACCCACCCGTCAGCATATACACAGGCGGCTCCCAGCTTAACTCCCAAACAGGTGGGGGAGTCTTTTCCCCCGAACTAGACATAAAAGTCTCATTCCGCTTACCAGACCACTGTAGTGTTTTCCAAACGGAAGTCATGGCAATTCAGGAAGCCATTACCCACATGAACACGTCTGTACATCAAGACATAAATATCTTCATCTTCTCGGATAGTCAAGCAGCCCTCAGGGCCCTCGACTCCTACACAACGAACTCAAAAACAATCTCTGAATGCCGCAAATCTCGTAACGAGATGGCCACTCATCTGAGAATCAACCTCATCTGGGTGCCTGGACACCGCAATATTGAGGGCAACTGCATAGCAGACGAGCTAGCAAGACAGGGGACAACCGCCGATATCCTTCGTGATAAGGACACGGTAGGTATGCCCATGGCTACCTGCAAGCTCCATCTCAGGCAGAGATTGTATACACTTTCCAACAACCGTTGGAACTCAATCTCAACATGCCACAATTCTAGACTCACATGGCCAAACTACAACACGAAAAGAACAAAAACTCTCCTACAATGTAGCAGGGAGAACATCTCCACTCTCCTAAATGCCCTCACGGGCCACTGTCTTATAAAGACTCATGCGCTAAGGCTGGGACTAAGTAACCACGACTTCTGCCGCAGCTGCAAACAGATAGACGAAGAGGAGAGCATCGAACACCTCCTATGCTTTTGCCCAGTGCATAACCCAAGGCGCTTTCAAACCTAGGTAGCTACACACTTCCGAACTTTGCGGCCATTCAGGACGTAAGCATCCAAAAACTATTATGTTTCTTAAGAAGAACAGAATACTTCGCGAAAGCAGATAACCCATGAGCTAGGGAAACGGATCTTTCAGAGACCATGTGGTATCACAAGGGGCCCATTGTGGCCTAAGTGAGGGGATTAATATCTAATCTCCTACCACTCCTACCTAACCTAACCTAAGCTAACTGGGCTACCGGTATCAAAAAGAACATTAATTACTATAAATTCTGCGCATCTAAGTTCATTTATATTAAAACTTACTAAATGTTTACCAATTATGTCAGCAATTATGTGTCGCCACTGTCTGCTGCAGTCTTCTAGTCACACGCGTCGGGCAGTTACGGAATTGATGACCCACGCCTCCACAAGTAAAGCAACTATTCGGTGGACGTATGGGCTTGTTGCAATCCTTTATCATGTGTCCCGCCTGACGACAATTGTAGCATTTTATAACATGAACGCTCGAACTACCACGACCTAAGAATTTGGCAGTGATAAACGGATAAACGACGCAATTGATCAAGACTGTCGCAAAAATAAAGTGACGCAGTAATACCACTCGTGTCGTTTAATCCGTCAACAATGTGCTTAATTAAATCACGATCTTCCAACTCAGCTTGATGTGCAATACTGCGTCTGAGCTGCTCACATATCTCCAGTTTTGTGTTTTTACGTCCAAAAACATTCATCATCTGAGTTCGCAAAGCATCCCAATCAGCAGCACCTTGATAAGCGAAGGAACTTTTTGCTGGTCCAATAAAAAGACGCCTCGCAACCAATAACGATTGAGTGGTACTCCCAACACTGCACATGCAGTTTCAAACTTTTCAATCCATATTTTGACAGAAATGCCATCCTCTCCCGAAAAGGGCTCTACTACCGCCATTATATCTGCGTTATCAACCCGTGAAAAATTTGCGGCCATTTTTGTACCAACTTGGTTCCGTTCCATGTCGCGAAGCGTTGTTTGAAGTCCCGCTACTCCCTGACAAACATCAGCCAGATCCTCTCGAAACGTGCGCTTATCCAGTCCAATCTGAGCAACGTGCTGCGCAAGAGGTTCTGCATTGGCTATCTTGTCTTGTACGTCGGTGTCGCCTCCCGCAGCTTGATCTTGAGACACGATTTTGCTTGTCTGGTGCCGCGAAACCATGCTGCCGCCAACAGCCCGATCTTGCAACACAATGTTGTTTGCAGCTGCCTGACCATGTTCTTCATCCGGGCCAGCCTCATGCTTGACGCTCATTTTGAACAAAGTGTTTGCCGCAATGCGCAATTGGTGTATGGTAGCCCCGACGTCAAAATGCACTTCGTTGGCTCTCAATAGCTGTAATAACTCTTCCTTTGATTGCTTCAATATATCAGAATACAACATGGGTACTTTATGTGAGTGCTATGTGCAATCACCCCCAGTGGCGGATCTAGGGTTGCTGGCGCCCGGGGCAAAGCGAAAAATTCCGCCCCCTCCCTATTTGCTGTACGAATAACATTAGGAGTATTTAAAGTGTAAATAGGTTATTAATTATTAAAAGCTTATATGTTTGAAGAATTGTATTTCATATCGATTCTTTTGTCAGTTACAACGGAAAAAACATTATTATTTGTGTTTTTGCAAGACAAAAAAATATTACTTTTAGAATATAAATTTTCTGGCCTTGATTGCCGCAAATTCAGCAATAATATCATTGTAGTCGAGTGATGCTGCTACTTCATTTTCGATAGGAAAATATGAATTCTCGAAACATATATTGCTAGTCGGACTCGATTTAGCGCCTCTTAGATTTGGCGCCCGGGGCGCTTGCCCCTTTCGCCCCCCCTAGATCCGCCACTGCTCACCCCACACCTGAATTTGTAAATGATGCATTTTAATTTAATGATTTTAGTTCTTCTCTTTTAATGTTCCGCGTGTTCTCTCTTCTTCTTTTATTACAAGTGGCCTATTTATCTCGACCATCGAGTTCACCATGTAATCGATATCTGTTATCTTATCGATGCTTAATATAAAGTTACATTATAGAAAGTACACACTAAAATACAATGCTAAATATAACATTATGTTCACACTTAATACTATTTAGTGTATATTCACATGTGTTTACATTAGTATATATTCACATATGTTTACAACAGAAAGTACACACTAAAATACAATGCATACCATTATGTTCACACTTAATACTATTTAGTATATATTCACATATGTTTACAAAAGCAAGGTTCGACCATACAGACTGGCTACATAAACATTAAAAGAAAACTAAGTCCACAGGACATGAAATTGGGTAACGTCGCAAAAATCAATCGGGCTTCTCAAGCCAAGGAACTGTGCAAAACTCTAATACTGCAAATATATTTAAACTTTTGGCTGACACGTCCGACGAAATCCCTTCTGCAGTCTTGGATACGGACAAAAAGAAAGCGAGGCCGCCTCCGCTTTACATTCGAGAGAATAACTCCAACAACCTTGTTAATATAATATTCGATTTGATTGGTAAAGAAAGCTTCCACGTAATCCCCTTGACTAAATGAGACATAAATGAAACAAATGTCCAAGTCAAAAGCGAAGAAAGCTTTAGAAAATTGACGGAGCTCCTAGACGCCAAGAAAAAGAACTACTATACCTACCAGCTAAAAAGTAGTAAAGGTCAACAAGTTGTCATAAAAGGAATCGAACCAGACGTAAGCACTGCTGAGGTCGAACAGGCACTAAAAGATAAAGGTTTTAACGTAAAAACTTTTTCGAATATACGTAACCGAAACAAACAACCGCAACCTCTCTTTAACCACAGAAAATAAAATGGAATCGATAATACTCAGGTTGCAACTTAGTATGGATGAATTCATTTCTTTTATGCGAACGACCGTGCAAAGTGTGTAAATTATAAAACCTAGCAATAACCTTGACTGCGTTTCCTTTGGTTCACCTACCTACTTGCCTAGTGACCCCAGAAAACTGCCGGACTTGATTGACTTCGCAGTTACAAAAAACATCCCACGAAATTTGATTAGCGCCAGTTCTCTCTCGGATCTATCATCAAGCCACTCGCCTGAAATCTTTAGCCTAAACCAACAACCAGTTAGTAATGACAACCCCGTCATGTCAATTTCTAAAAATACGTAAGTTTTCACATTGGACTTACATCACAGCTAACCGGCGAAGACGACATCAACAGAACCGTAAGCATGCTAGAGTCAGTTTTGGCTTCAGCGGCTCAAGTCGCAACACCACGAAGGCAAAACATAACACTTAACAGAAAGCACACGAATGCAGAAATAGAGCATCTAGTTCTGGCAAAGCGTCATTCCCGGCGCGAATGGCAATTACTTCGATCGCCATTTGCAAAGCGACCATGCGAAGTCATAAAAATTATAAAAGAGCAGCTAAAACCAAGAAAATCTCCAGGCTGCGATCTAATAACTCAAAAAATGCTTATAGAACTCCCACTATGCGCTGCTGGTACCATATGCCAGCTGTTCAACGCGATGACAAGCCTAGGCTTCTTCCCGAAGAGGTGGAAAAAGTCAATCATCACAATGATACCAAAACCAGGAAAAGACCACACGTTAACCTCCTCATACAGACCGATAAGTTTTCTTTCGTGTCTATCAAAACTCTTTGAAAAATGCCTTCTAACCCGTATCATACCATACTTCAGAAGACATAATAGTATCCCATCACATAAATTCGGCTTTCGCGAAAAACATGGAACTATCGAACAGGTGAACCGCATAACATCAGAAATTCGAAGTGCATTTGAAAATAGGGAATACGGCACTGCGGTTTTTTTGGACGTCTCTCAATAATGCTTCCTAATAACACGCATAAACTCTTGAAGTCATATCTTTACAAAAGGATATTTGTTGTGAGATGCAATACTTCCATGTAAGCTGAACATAACATCGAAGCTGGAGTTCCTCAAGGCAGCGTTCTCGGGCCAACTTTATACCTACACTACACTTCTGATATTCCTACGAGCAGACAACTGACTATGTCTACGTTTTCCGACAACACCGCGATCTTCGGCTGATCTAAATGTCCACAACAAGCACCAGCGCAACTTGCGGCCCATCTAGATGTATCAGAGAAATGGCTCTCAGACTGGCGTAAACAAGTAAATGAGCAAAACTGTAAAGAAGTAATCTTTACCTTAAATAGACGAAATTGCCCAAACCTTACACTAAACAACACCGTGCTTCCTCAGTCAGGTGAAGAAACATATCTTGGCGAACATCTCGACAGACGGCTTACCTGGCGCACGCATATTGAAGCTAAACGAACTCACCTACGGCTGAAGGCAAATAGTCTGCATTGGCTTATAAACTCCTGCTCTCCCCTCAGTCTGGACTACAAGGTCCTTCTCTACAACTCCGTCTTGAAACCAATCTGGACTTATGAAATCGTGCAGAGAGCCCAAGCAAAGATCCTGAAAACTATCACCGGGGCACCGTGGTACGTTCGGAGTGGAAATGTTCAGAGAGACTTGAATATACTCCCCGTTCGAGACGTAACAGCGCAACACATGGAAAATTACTATACAAAGCTGTCAACCCATCCAAACCACCTCGCTAGAGCATTAAGATTGGTATGTTGGTACTTTGTTTTTTTCCGTAAAGACCGTCCCATCCAACAACAATTATTAGGACAGTCTAACATAAATACAGTTTAAAAAACTGTTAGAATAATGAGGGTTTTAAGATTTTAACATATTTTGTTAGTCTTGTAAGAGAAGATTAAAAATAAACAACCTATGTATAAACAAAAAAAAAAATTTTTTTATTTGCTAAATTAGCTCTATATTTTTTCTGATTACCTCCAGGAGAAACTTTGTTTTCTGGACAGAATAGCAAGTAGTTATGTGAGTCATGCCGATCAGTAGGTATTCCAATATATATCCTACTTTTCCTTAACAGAACCATTTTTATAATCGAACGATTCTATTTGTTTATTATTTAAAAATGTAAGCCCTGAAAGCGGTATAGGTTGACTCATTGCCCAACGATATAAAATATTTGGATCAATATTGCACCATTCATTCTCTGATCAGCGCTCTAGTTGACCAGACGTATTTTTTTGCTAAGTCTTCTAATTCGTGCCAGGAGTGCAAAGCTGAAGTTACATCTGTACAGCTTCGCGGCTTTGAGGCGGTTCGTTGTGCCTCTCTTTGTCGCCGCAAGTTCCACACCGCTTGCGTTGATGTGCCGGAAGATGCAATCAAACTTTGAACAACCATGCCCATTCTTATGTGACAGTGCGACAGTTGCGTTGTGAGTAATTACTCGCATTCCAAAACAGATGAAATTATTATTATTTATTATTCTACATTAAATGCAAAATTTCTGAAAGCCTTCCCGGAATCTTCTATGACAAGCTTAAAAACAAATCAGCGAAGGGTGAATAAACCTCTTATCCCAGCGCCAGTTGCATCAACATCCGATCAAGTTAACCCTTCTTCCGACCACGATCCCATCATATCAACGAAAAACGATTCTCAATAATGAATTTTGGCCACAATCAGTAAAAGTGAACCAGTTCATTCATAGGGAGAGATCCCAGACCCCCTTGGACTCTACGCTTATGCACTTCTTAGAAGGAGGACCGTTGCGTCCTTCGACTCTTTCTAAAGATGAATTAAAAATCCCCCCATAGTCGACGTCGCAATTTAAAATTTTTGCTCTCCCATACTGCGCTGTCTCTGGATTGGAGCTCTCAGTTCATCATTCTGCGCTCCTGCATTCGCCGTTTGCCTTTTGCGATATCGCTCGTCGCACTCTACCTACACTTGCTCTCTCTTCGCTTTCTGCCATTTCGTCGCATGCCTGTTCTCTACATTTTCGTCGCTGAAGTTAAATCAACATCGGATGCTGCTATCTTCCGTTTCTGATACTAATCAGCTCAGCGCGCCTCCTGTGATACCGCTCTCTTATATGAGTAGTCAGATACTTACTTCACTGTGCTCTTCAGCGCTTCTCTCTACTGATGCAATTTCTTCTGCGCTCTGTGGATGGCCTCACAAAACAGGCATGCGTCCGTAAGAAAATCATTTACATATTCCCAATTCGACTGCACTATTATTCCTGCAGGGTCCTCTTTTCAGAAAAGATAACGCTGACTTTAAATAGTATGATGATATGCTTATTTCACACTCGACTGGTTAGCTTGGGTTTTACAAAATGTGCTAAAGAACTGTACTTTGCGAGATTCTGGCAGCGAATGAGTATGGCGGTGCGTTGCTACTTTTCACTCACGTTGCAACTGGGTATCGAGTACAGCTTAGGAATAGCGAGTATTACTTAGGAATATCGAGTACAGATAGGGAAAGATATTAGATCAGAAAGGGAGACCGCTTCTAGTGGTCCTTGTCTCTCCACTACCGCATCCCACAATCGGCCCTCCTGACGCAGGATTCGTCCCGAACGCCGTAATGTACTCTGCGACGGTTGATGTTTCATAAGGCCCATCACCTTCTCCTACCCTTTCAACTTCGTATCTTCAATGGTTTCCTACTTTGACTACTTTCCACGGCCCTAGGTACTTTCCTTTAAATTTCAAACCAGTACCATACTGGGTGCGTTTAATGGCTACCAAATCGTTTAACTGGAACTCCTTTTCGATTTTTCTTTTTGCATCAAAAGCTTTCTTGTTTTCCGCTTGGATACTTTGAATGTTCTCCCTTGCTTCCTTCCTCAGTTTGTCGCGTGCATCGTCTAACTCCGAAATTAAACAACCCTGTATCAATGACTTGAGGTGGACATCTCCTGAGATACGCATATCTAATCCTGTTAGCAGTTTGAATGGTGAAACTTTGGTACTCATTGGCGCAGTGTTGTTTATGATCTGCTGTACCTTATCTACATGCTTATACGAGCACCCTGGGTTTTCAAGGCTTAGTTTGGAGAGCATCGCAACAACTATTTTATGCATGCG